ATATTATGCAACATGAACTTTGAAAGAACCTAACCATCCTTAGTTATCAAAATATCAGGTAAACTACCCCCAAAAGTGAGTAATTAATTAATTTAAAAGAATTTCAATCACCCTGCTTTTATAGCGTGAAAGCTTGTAATCATTAAGCATGGTATTGAAATATATACTAACAAAGAATCGCAAAACGGATTCCATGTCCTTGAGGCAGTTTTCTTTTCGTGTTGAAAACCGTAAACGCATAAGTTAAATTTTCTCTAATATGTGGAAAGCAAGCTGTTTTTGTATACCTTGATTTCAGTTTTTGTTAAACAAGACATTACTATCTTCACTTTTTAATTTCAATATTTTAAAGAAGTAATACAATTCCTAATATAAGAAATCTAAAATGGAGTACGTTGTACACAAATCATCGTTAACTTGGCAAGCTTATTATTCTTTGATTCTTGCTAGCGCAGCGGTAAGCTCGAGGTCTTATAATATTAAAAATAGGAGTTTGATCCCTGTGGTACACACAGTACAAGGAGACCATTTTGCAACTTTATGCTTAAAAACAAGCAAACATTCTACTGAACTTTACAGTTTCTACATATATATATATATATACGGATCCCTACTTGTATTCCTCAATATAGTTAAAATTGTTGTAGTTGGTTTTCTCTTTAGCTTCATATTTGGCCACAGTTTCTACATACGGATCCCTACTTGTATTCCTCAATATAGTTCAAATTGTTGTAGTTGGTTTTCTCTTTAGTTTCATAGTTTGCCACAGTTTCTACATATATATATATATATACGGGTCCCTACTTGTATTCCTTAATATAGTTCAAATTGTTGTAGTTGGTTTTCTCTTTAGTTTCATATTTGGCCACAGTATCTACATATATATATATATACGGGTCCCTACTTGTATTCCTCGATATAGTTAAAATTGTTGTAATTTGTTTTCTCTTTAGTTTCATATTTGGCCACAGTTTCTACATACGGATCCCTACTTGTATTCCTCATTATAGTTCAAATTGTTGTAGTTGGTTTTCTCTTTAGTTTCAGATTTTGTTTCTAGGAACACCAATAGTCATTTAAAAACTACGACACATGTATTTTTAAGCTATTATTTGAGCCTACCGCATAATATTCCACATTTCAAGGTTAAAACAACATTCCATGTCCTGGACCACTTATTCAGTCTGTCTAGAGTTACTTGATATACAGTATCTGTATGTTTTCCAGAATATCAAAGCGTGTTATTTCTATAAACGTTGCTGTCAATACCCTTTAAACATTAGAATGGTTGACAAACGTAACTATGCAACAAAGTAACTAACCAAACAATAATCACTATATAGATAATTTTGGCCAGATCTGTGTACATTGCTATCGAACAAATAACATGGTTAGTAGAGCTTAATAGTGTCTTCATTGTCAAACGTTGAGATTATATTGTAGAAATTCACAAAACAAGACGTCTAGATGACAGAGCAAGAGTTGTGGTTTTCTCCTAAAACGACTTTGAAAACTTAAGACAGTGTATAATATTGACGTAATCACAGAACATTCACTGTCTAAAAAAAACCGTCTGTGTTTTTCTATCATTGCTTGGATTTAATAGTCAACTGACAAACAACGATTGATAAGCATAATGAAACGGTTTTATTTTGGGGAACATGCTCTATGTTTCGACAGAACATTGGTCTGTCTTCTTAAGGTAGTATATTCCCTAAAATAAAATTATGTTTATCAATCGTTGTTTGTCAGTTTACTATCATAAAATATTATATTATAATAATGTGCTTTTATACAAAAGTATTGTGTAGACTTGGTTCTATGGGTCACTGTGGCAACCGTTGCTGTGAAGTGTGATTGGTCTACTTTGATCAGCTAGCCCCCTAGTACCCTGCTGTGGAGAGAGTCTGCATGTCCACACATTTTTTTAGGCGATTTGTATCTATTGCGAGTATGAAGAATAATCAAGCAGACACTTGGTACTCAAACTGCCCCGAGGTGGAGTGAGGGAGGGGGTGGGGTGGAGACCGGCAATAATTACCCTTATAGAAGTAGTCAAGAGCGAGGGACTACCCGGTGAACAAGAGGTTAGATAATAAATGTTGGGAACAGCTACAAAGAACTCTCTCGATTTTTTTTTCTAGTGATGAGATTCGCTTCTCATCATCTTTACCAACATTAGCAAGCTAAGCTAATAATTTGTTCTAAGCCACATGGGTTTCTCAAAGTTGTTGTTCTGGCAATACTGGGTTTATTGCACGAAACACACTTAAAAACTTCGCTTTGTCTGAGACACAACAGTCATCTTATGTTAATTCTTCGCCAGAAATAATGAAATTGTAATGTGTATAAATCAATTACTTAATTGATTATCGACTCAACATTTCACTTTCAACTTATATGCGCTTATGGTATATATAGAATATTATCTATTAACTTTTGCCCCCCCCCCCAGTGGTTCAGCAGTAAGTCTACACGCTTACAACACTAAAAAAAGGGTTTCGATACCCGTGGTGGGCAGAGCACAAAAACAAACAACTATTAGGTTATTCACGTTTGCATTAGTAAGATAAGTTACTGGATAAGTAAATACAAAATGAAATTTTCGACCATAATAAATTGTTAGAAACAATGAGTTTTTTGTGAGTTCTAAAAGTCAGTCTAAAATTTCAGAAACAATTAAGATTTATTTAGAAATAACATGTTTAATTTTATATTTATCTTCCTAAACCAAACCGAATTCACAAGTGTTTAATTACTGTATATATATCTTACTCACAGGCCGAATTAAATTTGATTTATAAGCCCTCTACGTGAAATCAGGAGAACCGTTCGCTATCTATCTTTACATCTGTTTCACAATGATATTGATGGATGGAGCTGTTATTTTCTATCAAATCAAACAATAAGCAAAATATTGAAATACATTCGTGTATAAAGAGCATTGCATATGTATTACAAAATTAGACATTATATGAGCAAAAATATTGGTGTTTAACTATGTTCTTTTTAATTAATAACTGGACTAACAGCTGATAGAACGATTTCCTAAGATCTGCGAACCTGATACTTTACATATTGGTTGGTTGGTTGTTTTGAATTT